CAATATTTTTGGTCAGTTTACGTTATCATCTGTGTATCCAAGGCGACAGTTCACTGAGTTGGACATGAATACAAGTTTATTAGATTTGGATCTTGCTCCGTCAGCATCATTGGTTGTATTGCCAGTAAGTGTGCATCATTGCTTAGCCTTCTCACCATCAGACTGTCTCTCCCAAATTTGTCTGCACTTTTTTCTTGTATTCTTCAATATTTCCGGAAATGAACCCTAATTTTGGAGCCAACGGCAAAATTTTAGTCAATTTTCAGTTTTTACTCAAAAAACTTGGCTATTTTTATCCATTCTGAAGGAAAGTGCAGATTTAAATGAGAATTTTTGTGATGAAAAGAAGGAATTGGTGGTGAAAATGTTAATCACTGTAAAATACTTTATTATAGCTGGAATTAATTTTCACTGAATAGACTTTTTGAGTGTTTTGTATAGATTTTATTTTCACTGATTTTTGACGAGTTGAATGTAAAATATAGGAAAAAATGTATATTCGCTGGATTTTATTTTTACTGAATCATTCCTTCAGCGAAAATAGCGAAAATTAAGTATTCCACAGTATAATATACACATTTCACATTGGGGCTTGATATAATTATAAAAGGATCAAGGATGGGTGTGCTATACTGTTGCTTGACATTTCATTGAAATCTATTTCCTAGAGCACTAAGATTCAATGTGCCTCACTTCCCTGGTACAAGTATTGAAATCTCTTCTACAAAAATACAATAATTTCATCAAGTGAAGACCACATTTGGTCATAGTTGAATAACACAATGCTGAACAATGAAGTTTCAACATATTTGATCGAATTTAAATTGTAAATCCGCCACACAGACTCCATTAAAAAGACTAAAGCAACTAATTGAATGTGACTTGGGGGGTGTTGTGCAAGGTCATGTGATTTGGCTCATTTTAATGCTGGAGCGTTACTCAAAAATAAGAATATTGTTATTTTCTTGATTTTGCATATATGTGTAGTAAGGATGATTCTGTAAAATACTTTATTATCACTTGGAATTTATTTTTTATGAAAGAATGAATCAGTGAAATAAAATTCATTGAAAATACTTTTTTTTATATATCATTCAAATTAGTGATAACAAACTTCATGAAAAACTGGCAAAATGTTGTTTTATCGAAAATTAAATTGAGCTAAAGTAAAGTATTTTACAGCAGTCAAAATACACTATGGGTAACATCAGTATTTGCATATGAAACTAAATGTAAATGTTTACTACCGCAATATACTGATTCAAATGTTATCATTTCAATTACCAGGGAAGTAAGCATTCAGCCTCTAAACCTGATTCAAATCCAGCTGGGTTGTTTGCACTCTTACTGATGCCATTCTTATGGATATGGAGTTTAGTTGTCAGCATTTTTATATCTTCATCTGAACCCGAGTCCATCACCGAAACGAGGACTGACAATACACTTTCTACACCATCAACGTCACAAACCACAAAAGCAGAAACTAAAGAAGAAAGCACAAGCAGACCAGTCAGACCTAAAAGGTATGATGTCATTTACACTCTTTTGTTTTTACACCATGTGCTTGTTTTTTCATCGTTCTTGCATCATTTTTAAACCACAAAGGTTTTTACACCATTCTTTAGTTTTTATGCCATTTTTTTTAGTTTTTACTGTTTTTTTCATTATTAAGTTTTTACACTATTCTTTTGTTTTTATGCC